TTACACATACAAACAATGCTGTATTGAAATTCAGGAGCAGAATGCTGCAATGGAGTGCTTCTCTCTGCGAGATCCACATGTGTCTTCAGTCTCTGTATGGATGTTACAGGCTGTTTTCATGTTTTATCATGTTGATTTCTCTCTGACATTGTGGGCTCCTGTCTTTCTGCATCCTGTATCTGATGTATGGATGCAGGAGCTTCCGGGCCTTTCCCAGCTGTTGTCTGGATGTTAAATGCTCTCTGGGGTAAAGCCAGTATACACCAGCACTCTTTCCCATCTAGCTTTTCCAGCCAGCTGTTTTTCTTTTGCAGCAAAACTTTGAAAACATTTTCTTTGTTTTTTTCATTTTTGAGAGTAAATATTTAAGCAAGAATTAGGTTTAGGAGCAAAAAAAAAAAAAAAAAAACTTGAGAAATCACTTTAATAATTATCCATTTGTGTAGACATTTCGCCACCTTCACAGGTACAACTACCATTTTGTTCTTTTACTCTTCTGAAGTATAAAAGCATGTTTTAACAGATCATCATAGCCCATATAAAATGTCAGCATTTCCAACAGACAGTAGACATCTAATAGATCATAGACCAGAGATCACTGCCACAAGTAGCTTTGTCCTTTAGGACCATTCAGGAGCATATGGAGTGTGATGATCAGTCATGTTTAACCTGCCTCAGTGAAGTCAGAATGTCTGCATGCATACAGAGTAGCTTTTTAATAGTGCCAACAAATCCTCAGTTTCAGTGAAACAAATGCTTCTCTGCTTCTCGCTCAGTAAAGTGTCTTAATGTGCTGCCACTTTAAATGTAAATCCTACAGTGAATACAAAAAGTATTGAACCTTTTCATTGCTTTTACAAATAATCATAATAAATAAAATGTGGCTTTTCAACACAAAACAAATTGCAAAAAAAATAAAATAAAAAAATGATACCAAAGAGAAAACTGATTTCTATAAAACAATGGCAATTAGTGGAACTGGATGCTGCGCTTTTCCTTAATTTTTCCTGCTAAACTCTTCAGGTCAGTTGTGAACAGGTTTGGGCTTTGACTAGGCCACTCCAGAATTTCCCCTTTATTGTCTTCCGACAATAAAGGAAGACAATAAAGGAACGAAAAGGCATGATGCAAGTGGATGAGGATGAGGAAGAGCAGCTTCGACCAGGTTACAGAGCACGAGTGTGTATCTTCACACGACAGATGTGGTCGTGTAAAGATACGCGACCATATCTGTGTATCTTCAGCTGGAAGCTTTGGGTCGTGATCTTGCCGGATGATAAATATTCTCTCCGCTGAATTTCTCTGGCAGATGGAAACTAAGGCTGTGTTCACCCTACAGCCTGAAGTGACCCAATTCAGATTTTTTGGCCTTAATGCGACCTTTATCTAATGTTTTTGTGACATTAATATATCATGTTATTCCCTCATCAAAAACATACCTGGAGTGTTGCCTTGATTCTTTCAGGCAGGTTTTAGAAATCCTTTAATCTCTCATGGCAACCATTCCAAAATGCAAAATGCCAAGCTTCCATGTCACTCCCCTACTTCACTCCTTCAGACTAACCAGCAGCAATTGGCAAGCAACTGATGGAACTGCACATTTCTGAGCTCATAATAAGAGCTATTTCTCATAGCAATGCTGGTAAAAACATTGTCAAAGAGTTAATAGAGGAGCCATGTTATCATGACTTCCTGAAGGTGGAGTTTTAGAAAGAGCAGGAGGTTCTTAAAGAGTCAGAGGACCAAGTTCAAAGCATTTTAATAAGGAAGTAAATTTTATTTTGTCATATGTAATGTCATAACTGTTCCAAAGACATAACTGACATTATTACTTGATTGTGCTATAAAATGGCAGTATGTGTCTGTAAAACAGAAATTCTGCACCTTTAACAAAACATACAATAAGGTGTACTTAATCCCTTCAGACTTAAGAGTATTAAGTTTGTAACTGTCACTTTTCAATAAGCCTTCTGATTTCAAGGTGAACAGTCATGTAGTGATGCCTTCAAGCCCCGTGTCAAACTCAACAACTCTAATGGTGCTGCTGCTGGATCTCAGTGAGAGGAGCCCAGTCCAGCTTCTGTCACATGGGCTCTTGTTTTGGCTTCGGCTAGACGAAATGGGTGTGTCTGTGTGTGTGTGTGTGTGTGTCCCAGAAAGAGCGAGTGTGGACCTGACAGGACAACCAGTCAAGGACATTCAGCTTCCTGGTTTCTCATTTTACACAGATTCAGTTACAGACAGATGCACACAGTGACTGTGGAGAGGCATGCAGCAGTTCTGGCACACTGAGATGCAAGGCTTGGCTTCCCACTGCTGCTCATTTATCAGATGCATTATGGGGAACATAGACAGAAAAAATATTGCACACCAGGCTCATTTTGAAGTCCAGTTTTGTTTACAGCAATCCCAGTATCCATTTTACATGCTGTTTTTATTTTGGATATTTAAAATATTTTAATATTAAATGTTTGTTATTTTTCTTGAGAGTATGTTCTTGCATTATTATGACATCACCATGATGTTACTTGAAAATGCTATCAAAACAACAATATTGTTGTTCATCGCAATAACTACTGGGACAATTTGGACAGATGGATGGATGGATGGATGGATGGATGGATGGATGGATGGATGGATGGATGGATGGATGGATGGATGGATGGATGGATGGATGGATGGATGGATGGATGGATGGATGGATGGATGGATGGATGGATGGATGGATGGATGGATGGATGGATGGATGGATGGATGGATTCACCTCTTTGATTTGAGAAAGAAGCCTTTATGTCACAGGTTCTTTGGGTGAGGGATTCAGAAACCTTTCAGACTGTTGGGGATGGACTGATATCAGTGCTTTTAAAACACCTCTGCTGCTTAACATAAGGGAGGATAAAACAATATCTGATACAGATTTATTTACAAAGTGTTTGGTTATTGTCTTTCCATAAGGCGCTGGATTTTTCCATATCCACTGTTAATACATATTCTATGTATAAAGGTTGGGTTGTTTTATGTTTTCTCTTTAGCCTTTTCTAAGTTTTTGACACTTCTATATGGATGCTTTGTTGCTATGCCAAAATCTAAATCAAGCTGGGTGGTTTAGAACCATAAAATAGATTTTAGAGTTAATCTTAAGGAGGACCATCATTTTGATTGCAGACACTCTTTCCATCAGTGAAAGAGGGAGAGTTCTTATGGTCATAATGGGATTTCATTTAATTGTGTTCAGCCTGTGAGAAATATTGATACCCATGAACCTGATGTTCCCAAATCTGTAATGGAATAGTTGGACGGAATATTACAGAAGATATGAAGAACTGTTCATATGTGCCAACTGCTAGTGAGACGAAGGGGATTTGCATTTTGAGCACAAATCAATATTTAAACATTTTGTGGGATATGTCAGTTGTTTCAAATTCAAGAAGTTTTTGCTTTGATGAATTTCAGTCACTACACACTGAGTTAAAAGTCAGTAGACTGGGTTATCAGTTGCTGCAGGGTTCTGTGATTTTTCCATAGTATCTCTGGAAATACGTCAGCTTAGCTCTGAGCGCTGTCCGAAGTTTCCCTGTACAGGTGGTTGTGGCTGAAAAACAAAACACGTCTGGATTAGTGGTGGGCGGTACGGACTTAGCCACCACAATATTTCCTGGTGCTACTGTAATAACTTAAAAAAGATAATAAAAACCACTTGTTACTTATTTTTTAGGTAACTGTATGGCTGTGAATGCTAGCGCAGCATTCAGGTCGCCACAAATGCTGCCCTTGAAAAATAATTCCTTTTGAAACAGGCATCTTCAGGATACAACCAGTGTGATTTATAGCCTATTAGAGTAACTGCATTTTGGCGTATCTTCAAATGTACTCATTTTTTTTGACGTTCTTGTGGTACAAACAGTGGAGAAAAATATAAACAAAATTTACAAGAACACTGCGAGTTAGGGTTTGCTTTAAGCATTAGAATGTATCGAGACGACAAATAAATCAGAATTCTTATTTTAATTAATATTTTTCAAGATAAATAATTTTTGACAAACCCTTAAACTGGATAATTTCATCTAATATTGTGTTAAGTTTTATTGATTTATTTCACTTGGGCTGGGCAGCTGTTCAGTAGCGCTCAGTGGCCAAGTCAAATACCAGTAGAAAATAAATTTGGCTTTTTCTTACAGCATAGATGTTGCCTTTAATTTATGTGATTTAAGATTTTTGTCAGCTCCTTTGCGAAAGACTATGTATTTTATTAAAGAGGAACAGTTACAAACTTTTCTCAAGGAAAACTGGCAAGACATTCTTTAAACGTGTTCATTCTGAGTATTCTCAAGTTTTTCCATTCTAATGATGTTACTGTGATATGGACCACCTACCATACCTCAAACCATGTCATGGTAAAACTAACTGCTTTCATCAGAATCCAGAGGTGTGAAGTACATGTGTCTGTAGAGTCTATATTCATCAAATCAATGCAGTGAAGGGAAACATGCAGTATTCAAATAGGGATTAGTTAGTTGCAAGAGTAAAAATGTGACTTCTGGTTTCCATTAGAACATTTCCAGATATTAACTTTAAAAAAAGCCTAATTCTCACTTACAGTACTGTAGTACTGCAGTAGTTTATCTGGGGAATAAATGATAACAAAAAACAGAAGAGCTGAAGCTCCGTAATCTCTGTTAGCATGTGCTTGGATTGTGGAAAGACATATTTTAGGATCAACCACTAGATGTCGCTGTGCACTGACAAAATCATGCAGAAAATGTCCCAAGGCCTATCAAAGGTTGATTCTTTCTTAAGAAACTACTACAAATTACATCTCAAATACATTTTATGCCTTGCACTAAATTAAATAATGAGATTGCACTTCAGCTGCATTTTCCCCCACTTAGAATCCAGTGTTGTACATAAAATGGCAGACATGTGGAAAATGCTGTGGTGACAGGAAGCGAAAGAGGGTGAGTGAAGGACAGACTGACTCCTAGTTGTGTTATGTTTGCTAGGTTCCCAGATGTCTGAGGAGGCTCTGAGGATGTCATCCTGGCCTTGAAGCCCACCAGTATGTCAGGTAAGATCCTGCAGCCCTCCCAGCAGCGTCAGCCTCGACCACACACAAAGAATTTACATCATAAAAATCTTTAAATCCATCCTAAACAGAAAACTAAGGATTCTATCATTTAAAGACACATTTTATTTTCACATGAAACCCCAGGAGTTGGTTTTAGAAGCTTTGCAGCAGCAGCTATATCCGGGTTTTCCAGGACGTCAGGTCCTGCATGTTTCAGGTGTCTCCCTGCTCCAGCTCATCTGACTCAAATGACTACATTCCCTCATCGCCATGCCAACAAGTGTTGCAGAAAAATTACAGTGAGATATTCATGTGGGAAACATTGAAAACATGCAAGACAGAGTCCTGGTTACCATGGTGATAGAATTCAGCCCTACAAGCGGTTCTGCTCCCATGTATCAGATTTACACCTGATGAAGTTTAAATATTTCGACCCCTTAATATCCACCTGACAGCAGCTGATTTCCTGTCTGTCCAGGAAGTTGACTCCCTGAAGGCTGAAGCCTCACTTCCTTCAGCGTGCTGCAGCACAACTCGTCTTCTGCTGGTGTGACCCGCTCCAAAGGTTTCCAGTTTGACCTGTAAATCTTCTAAGGAGGAGCAAAATTACCTATTTTTGTTCACAGTGACTGAATTAGTAATTTTGGAGTTTGAAGTCTTGATTTGAGTCCTGAAAATCAGACAGTCTGCTCCGGACTCAGTTCTGCTGTCAGAACTCACTTTTTCTATCGAGTCATGAGACCAAGTTCAGTTTAATCTCAACTTTATCTATGTTTCTGATGTCTTTACTTTAATGCAATTTTATAATGTGCATTATTATTATGCACATCATAAAACATTAATTATCATTTATAGTAGTAGTAACACCTGCCGTAAACCTCAAAAATGAAGTTTCCATAATTAATTTTAAACTTTCCAATTAATCTGAACTTGAACAGAACTTGAAAAACCTACTGAACATAAAAGTTTTGACATCTTTCCTCATTCCCCAGAGAAAATACCAGAAACTCCTGCAGCAGAATGCCCTTACAGACCCAGAAAGCAGCCTGCCAGTGCTGCAGCTCGCTGTGTGCGGGACATATGGGCTGCAGCAGCGTGCTAACAGCTTGTCCATTTAAATTCAACAGGCAAGTACAGTATGTGCCACTAGGTGCATTTAGTCAGTAGAGATAATGTACGAGGTAAATTGGTCGTCACGTGTGGATTTAGCCGTCCCACTAAACACCTCTGATCCGGCACATATGTTATCGAACCAAACAGACACAAGCTCACGTGTATCGCACGAGGAAATGAACCCAATCCCCTCGCTTGCTGTTACACCCTGAAAGCAACTCAGCAACTGAGCTAATGACTGGGATGCTGCTGGGTTAGCAAGCTGCTGCAGCTCCTGTCTGACAGGCCTGCATCCTCTCTGCTTCTGATTGTATATGAAAGCAGAGCAGCTGATCCGCCTGTCTCTAACCTGTTTTACTGAGCACTGGCCTGCTTTGGTAAACTGCCTCTCCCCATCTGTTTTTAGAGCCTGCAGAGAAATGCTCCCCCCGCTGGAAGGATGAGTCTGTTCAAAACGGTAACATTTCACCTTCCTTTTCCTCCTGTCTGTCTGAGTGAGCTCTGAAGCATTTCTGTTGAAAAATAAAAGAAAGTCGACATGAAACCGAAGAAATGCTTTCATTTTCAGTCTTTTTACTTTCCTGTACAGATTTTTGCTCTAGAAGAGGTTTTCCTCACCTGTTCTAGAGAGATCTAGAAAGTGGTGTTTAGCTTAAGGGTTCCATTCATTCATCAATCATATCTGAAGGCTGAGATTATATAAACTTTGCATGTCAAGGTAAGAGGAATTAAGACACATTAACAGCGGTTAATATCATGCAGCTCTCCATTCCCCACACTTGTGTGGGTTCAGGCTCTGTGGGTGGAGGCGGCCCGACCTCCGTCACCCGAGCTGCCTCCTCTTTGCTATTCCAGGAGGACACTAAGGCGTTCCCAAGCCAATCGAGAGGCATTATCCTCCTGGCGTGTGCTGGGTGTCCCCACAGCTTCCTCCCACTCCAAACTGTCTCAAACACTTGGCCTGGATGATGTCCAGGAGACGAACTGCTCAGATGTCCCAGTCACCTTGACAATATCTCTTTTAGTGTGAAAGGGTAATGTGCGCCCTGAGCCCCCTGAAAGAGTGAGCTCCTTACCACATCCCCAGGGTAAACACAGACTGTCTTAAAAGCAAGCTGATTTGAGCCGCTTGGATCCATGACCTTGTTCTTTCAACTACCATCAGACTGGGGGAAAAACCCAGGCTGAAAAACAAGCACAGACACACCAGTTGGCCTCGGTTGCTAATATCTGATTAAATCATTTCATCAAATACTTAAATAAATTTTTACTGTTTTGCTCCAGTCCAGAAATGTCTTACATCTCCTATGTGTGCTGATGTTTCTGAAACTTTCCATTCTCCAAATTAAACCCAACATTTTATGATGCCTCAAGCATTTGTCTCTAAAATATTTTGCATCATCGCTATGACTGTGCCTCCGCCGTGTCTTACAGTCACAGAAATCTGAGTCTAGGTTTAGTGTACTGCTTTATGCCACCACTGCAGACGACCCTGGTTAATTCGAAATTGCTGTGTTCTCCCAACTTTTTCATGATTTCAGATCCATTCAAATAATTTATTTTCACTATGAGGTCATCTTGCATAAAACTGTTTGTCTTGTTATTATATCCTCAGATGAATATGTTTTTTTTAAGAACTCAAATTATGTAGGTGAACCTGGACAGAACTTGGATTCATTCCAATCTCTGTGGCTCCTGCTTTCACTCCAAACCATTTCAAGCAACAGGAAGTCTCTCAGAGTGATTTTGCTTTAATTTTGAGTCATTAAATAAAAATAGCAGTTAATATAAAGCAAGACTATTTAACTCTATGCAGTGCTTATAAATGTTTTATCCTTTTGTTACTTTTACAAATCAATCATGCTCAACAAAATGTGGCCTTTGGACAAAAGAAATTGGAAAACAAACTATTGATGTCTAGGTAAAAAACTGATTTCACAATAATGACAAATGAATACAAATATTTTGACATAAATAAGTGTTTTCCAATCCTTTAAAGTGACTACTCTAGTTCAGCTTGTTGCTGAACTAGACCTGCTGACATCATATGTATATTTAGTAATTGACTTAAGGCATCACAGTGAGTAGAATGGAGCCCAGCTGATTGCAGCGACTGCAGTATAAAGACAGCTGGTTCTGGAAGGTCCATTCCTGGTTACCACGACAGCATGAACACTAAAGAACACTTCAAGCAAATCAGAGAGTAGGATAGTGATAGGGGATGAAGACGAAAAAAAATCATGAACATCCCTCAGAGTTCTTCAAGACATGAAAGAACAGGTTGTCCTCACAATCTAGTCCATGTGAAGGAGACTAGTGAGAAAGGACACCAGGTTACCATGACTACGTGGAAGGAGCTCCAAGCTGTAGCAGCTAAGATGGAGAGACTCTGCAGACAACCGTTGGTTCTTCACCAGTCAGTTTTATGGAAGAGAGACGATGAGGAAGTCACTGATGAGAAAAATTCACATCGAGGCTGGACAAGAGTTTGTTTGCCTAAAGGCACGTGGGAAGAAACTCCAGGGTCAGAAGGAAGAAACTTCTTTGGTCTGATGAGATTTTTTTTATTAAGATACTGTTTTTAGAGGACAAAAACACTGCACATTACCACAAACACAGCAACCCTGCTGTAAAATATGATGGTAGCAGCATCATGCTGTGGGGATGCGCCTCCAGCGGCTCTGGAAGGCTTGGAAAGGTCAAAGGTCTAATGAATGTTGGGAAATCAAACAGTTAATTTCCATCTTCCGGAGAGCTCTGGCTTCAGAGAACATTTATCATCCAGCAGCACGACAAACTGAAGTTTTCAGCTAAACATACACAGAGACGGTCTGAAAACAACAAGGGGCAGGTTCTGAAGTGACCTTGTCGAAGACCAGACTGGTTCACAGCTGACCTGACAGACCTGGTGGAGTTCAGCAGGAAGAATCGAGGAAAAGTGCAGCATCCAGATGAGCAGAGTGACTGAAAGCGATCCACGCAGACTCTCTGCTGGGACGGAGCCAGAGGGACAAATACTAAATACCGACAGGAAGGAGGGAATATTTCTGCTATTTTACCCTTATTATATGCTCAATATTTTTAATTCATTATCATTCAGTTTTCACTTTGAAAACTGTTTTGCTGTGAAATGGTTTTTTTATGTCATTTTTAATCAAAAAAGTCACATTTTGTTACTTATAACTGAATTGTAAGAGGCTAAAACATCCAAGGGTGTGAATACTTTTAGTAGGTACTGTATTTCATTTTGTCAGTGAAGTCCAAAGAAAGAAAAAGTGATGCAGTGGTTTACAGCAGGAAGAAAGATAAAAATCTAATCTTTTATGAAATTATCCCAAAGAGAAATAAGAAAATATTTTTTTTTTATTTAATGTAGATTATTCTGACATCAAACATATTTAATGATGGACTTAAATAATTGGGTAGTTGGAGAAAGAAAGTAAATAAGAGAAACTAATATAGTGTTCTGACTTGTTAGCTCAGTCTGTAATTTATTTTTAATTTAATAGATTATGATTTGTATATAATCAACATGCTACCATAGTTTCTTCCTACACAGTACTGAAACTATGAAGTAAAAACTCTCCAAACACCAAAATGTTTGGTGTTTGGAATAGACCCTTCTGGGTCTATTCAGTCAGACCCAGAAGGATAGCAGCTTCTAGGAGGGCAGAGAATTGGCCGAACTGGAAATAGCTTAAAACCCAGCTCATCTGGTTTAAAACTGAGGATACCTATAATGCTGAAATCAAACTCCTCAAATCAGAACCTGAAGGACAAATTTACAGAGTAGACAAGATGCCTGGTTCCTTCCTTTGAATTTGAGCTGAACTTCTATGTTTCTGGCTGTAGCTGGATTAAAAAAAAAAAATCTGTTTTACTATTATGTAATAAAAATATTTCCATCAGAAATATTGGATTAGCTCGTGGAGAAGAAGCCATTTTGATTTAAATTGAACTAGTTAAACAAATATGTTTGTTCTGACATTTTCAACAAATGTTCTCTCAAAGCACTTCACAAGATAAGCATGCAGTTTGTATGCAGAAATATATTTAACCTTTTATAATATATAATCAAACAATACATCAAGTTCAGTTTGTTATTCAAACTGGAGGAAAGGAAACCTGACAGGTTGTATCGAGTCACTGACTTTGCAGCAATCCCTCATGCTGATCATGCATGTAGCGTGAGTAGAGAGGAAACACGCCCACTTAACAGGAAGAAACCTCCTGCAGAACCAGAACCTAGCTCATCTGCTTTAATCCAATCTGAGCTTTGAGAAGCCTTAGCATCCACACACTGAAGCTCGGCTCTAGCTTTACTTCCCGTTTTTCACACATGAGCCAGTCAAATTCCTCTGAATGGTCATGAGATATGAGTCATGATAACAAGGCTGTTCAGAAGCATTACTGATATGTAATGCAGTATTTTGTTTTTTGTGTTGCTGAGTAGCTTTAAATGCTGGTGAACATAGTAATAAATCAAAAATAATAGTTCTGCTGGAGGGTTCTTCCTGTTAAAGGGGAGTCTTTCTTCTCCACCGTCGCTACATGCATGCTCAGCCTGAGGGATTGCTGTAAAGTCAGCAACACAATGTGAGCAATTGTCACTACGAGTGAATTGTGGGTTTTCTTCTAAACTTTTTAACCAGTTTGAGTAATGAACTGAACTTGACGCACTGATGATGAATTTCCTGTCTGTATAACTGATTAACTTTTTCAAGTGCCTTGAGATGATATGTGTTGTGAATTACCATTACATTCTTAGAGTAAATAGCTGTGTTTTTTATTTTTATTTTGTTTTGTTGATTTTTTTGTTTGTTTATTTTTCACTAGATTTTTTTTCTTTGTTTTAAATAAAGAATGTGTACAAATAAGACACCTAAGAAAGAGGTCAAATAAGTTTATACTTTTGCCTGCCTCCTTTAAAAAAATAGTTACGGTACCTAAATATAGTATCTGAATTGTCAATGTAAATATGTTTGAAATAAACATAAACTAAAAAACAAACTTAAGTTGAACTGAATTGAATTACAACCATAAATAAATGGTGCATCTGTGTGGAAATCCAGTAAAATAATTACATGTATCCATTCATAATATTTTCAGAATTTAGTTTAAACAGGAGGACTAAAATATTAACTTCTGTTGTTTTGTCGTTTTTGAAAAGTATGTGTTGCAGTTTTGTTATTGTCTAAAAATAAAATTGAAGAGAAACTCTGGAAGTACTTACAGTTTGCTAACTCTGTGGTTCTGACACTGTGAACATTACAGCAGCATCCCAGGCTTCTTATGTTCAGTATTAATGCAGAACCTACAGGTGGCAGATGGAGCACATGACTTTCTTGTCAAGAGTGACCAGTAGAACACAACATGTTACGGATCCATCATGTATCAGCACTAACTTCGAAATTGGTCGAATTTAGTCCTTTTCTAACATATCAATAAATAAAACTG